TGTACAGTACAGTATCACCGCTACTTTTAGGTAATATCCAGGTTTGAAAAAGGAATTGTGCACATAAGTGGATTTATATTCTTTGTGGCTATAGAGAAATATATTTGCAAAGTAATACTTGGGTTTGCGGGGGGATTTGGTGAACACAAAGAAGATTTGTATCCTATGTTGCTATTGAGGAATATATTTAAAGGAGTTTTTGTGCCCAGAGTTTTGCTTTAAATGACAGTTGCATCTCAAATTATTCACGGTGTACTCAGAAAAATATAATACAGATCGTCTTTAATAGAGTATTTGTTATAAAGTGCTGGTAGGTTAATTGGCTTCTGTCTAAATTGGCCCTAATATATGTATGTATGAATGTGAGTTAGGGACCTTAGATTGTACACCCCTTGAGGGTTAGGGACTGATGTGAATGTACAATATATATGTAAAGTGCTGCGTAAATTGACGGCGCTATATAAGTACCTGAAATAAACAAATAATAAAGTCCCAGAACGTTTCAGTCATTGTCTACATTGATCATGATGGTGATATAATGTAGAAGGCCGACTAGATCAGCTTCCCATTCTCCATCCCATAAACATTTCATCAAACAGTCTCTGCTGTGAAGGGTAAAGCTATTCTACAGGCACTTAAACAAAGTCATTCACTAAATGAGAAGGCCCAATGCCAACTAATCACTTAGGTCATAAGATTAATTGTGCACACTATCTGCTTTTTAACGATTTGTTATTTAAACAAAGGGACCATCGATACTCTGGAGGAGAATGGACTCATTGTTGGGAGTAGAGCTACCTGGGCGTACAATGTAGCATTGTGACATCAAGATATAGCCACATTATTCCTCTAAATTCCTGGGATAGAGAGGCTGACCTTGAGCTGACAAGCTCAGTATTGTTGATGGATGCAACTGTCCTTGCTCCTAAAACCTCAATGAGTATTGCCTTCACCCTAATCAGAGATGGATTTCTGTAGCCTCTAATGCAACTTCTAGTGGCAACAATAAAGTGAACTTGATAAAGAGTTTGGTATGATCGAACCCGCTGCTGTTACTTTGTATCTTTGGCAAATCCAATAATTGAAAGATGTGTGCTACAACTGCCTGCTTGGATTTCAGCAACAATACATGTGCACCATTGACTACAGATCTTTGAGATCATACTACACTGTACTTTTCAAGCACTTAAGGGTTCATGTACACTGCAGCTGATAAACTCACGTTTAGGAGCTTTTCTGCTTTTTTTCAGCAGCCCCTGAACTCTCCCTAATGTCTTCCTATGTGTCCATGTACACTATGTCATTTACAGTCATTTACAGGCAGTTGAGTTCACAGTTGTTTTTTTCAACCCACCAAAATTGCGTTCAGGAGTAGATTTTATCAGCTTTTCAAACACTTCTAAATGCGGCCAACCGCGTTTATAAGCATTTGCGTTTAGAAGCATTTTTTAACTGTTCCAAATCCTGTTGCTGTCCGGAGCCTTTTTTCATCATCAGAAATGCATGCAAAGCATTTTCCATGTATTCAAATGAACCCGGCACACCAGCGCAGTCAGTTGCAGGTTTTGTGTGAAGGAAAAAATGGTAGAACGTGCCGTATTATGCTCATGATGGGATCCATAGTGAATACAACCAGAAAAGACAGGTCATCTCAACACATACTGCTCTCTCTCTGCTTCTGCTCTCTCTATTTCTCTCACAATGTCTGAAATTGTTAATTTTTTACTGTTTTTCTGTGTATTCTGGGCATTTTGGAAGGTCTCCTGAGGTTATCTTCTAAACTCTTCTAAACGCAAACGCGCTTAAACGCGGTATGCAAACGTGGCTAAACAGACGTTTTTAACCTACATTTTCCAGAAATCAGTTTCCATCATTCAGAAGTGTTTTCCAAGGCGATGTCAAAAAACAATTATAAAAGTGTCTCATAAAAAATGTCCAAGAAGGGTAAAGTCCAAAGATACGTTGAAAACACTGAATATTTCCAACGGATCAGATGCAGGTGCAGGTGATAGTGTTAAATCCGCATGAAAAACAGAAGGAAATTATCCATAATCGGCTGAATTGCCCCCTCACCTCATTGAAGTGACCCAAAGGGCTAAAACGCCTGTTAGAAAACAAGAGTAAGCATCCACGGCCTGGGCTTCCCTTCAAAGATAATATGGGTCAGCAGCGGTGATATCCCCCTCACAGGTAAGTGGAAGAACAGCAGGATCCCCTTTAGGGATGATATAGTAAGACTCAGCCAGCTCAAATCAAAAGGCAGGATAGAAACAGAAATAGATCTCCCATAGTGTAATACTGCTTAATATTATTTAAAAAATGTATAGCCAAATGCTCAGGGTCACAGAGGAAGTCACATGTCAACGGGACGTAACGAGTAGAAACGTGGTGATGTAGTTCCGGTGTGGACGCCATCTTGCTTCACCTTAAAACACCCATGCAAGTACACCCATAGCTGTGGTTTTTTCAGCTTGTATATATGCTTAACAAAAGTGAGTGGGCATTTGGCTATACATTTTTTGGACTAAGTGGGTTTCTAGAGGAGTTTTTTAGCTGTAAAAACGCTGTAACACGCTGAAAAATGCAGCAAAACATGGTAAAACGCTGTAAAATGCCGCAAATCGGCATTTTTGGACTTTTTTGACCCCAAAAAATTAGCTAAAAAAAAACCACAAACGTGGGAAAATACCGCTAGGCGCAGCAAAACGCTGCTAAACACTAATGCTAAATGCTAAAAAAAAAGCTGAAAAACTCAAATTTTTAATGTGACTTCACACAACTAAACATTACCAGTGTTATCAAAACGCCCCGTGTGCATGGAGCCTAAGGCCTCATGCACACTGGACATTTTTACAGCTGCTATTTTTGGCTTTTGATGTTTTTTTTCTACAGCCAGAAAAACCCCCCAGCATGTTATCCTATGTTTCCATGCACACATAGACTGTAATCAACGTTTTTTGGCTGGGATTTTTTTTGCTGGAAAAAAACCCAGGACTAGTGGGTTTCTAGAGGAGTTTTTTAGCTGTAAAAATGCTGTAATGCTGAAAAACACAGCAAAACACTGTAAAACGCAGTAATGCACTGCAAACCGGTGTTTTTGGACTTTTTTTGACCCCCCTAAAAAAATTCGGAGGGTAAAAAACATAAACGAGGCAAAAACGCCACTAATAGCGGCAAAAACACCACTAAATGCTAATGCAAAAATGTGGCAAAAAGCGGTAAAATGCCGCAAACCGGTGTTTTTGGACTTCTTTTGGCCCAAAAAATTTTTCCTTGATAAAAAAAAACCCCACAAATAAATGCAACATGAGAAAACACCACTAATTGTGGCAAAACAGCGCTAAACGCTAATGCAAAAATGCTAAAAAAAAGCTGAAAATCGAAAGTTTTTACCATGACTTTACACAGCTAATGTTACCAGCGTCATCAAAACACCCCGTGTGCATGAAGCCTCAACGCTTGCGCTTCTAATACGCCTGTAAATGCCTTTGTGGGCATGGACACATAGGCCCACATAGAAGTGCTTTTACAGGCTGAAAAAAAACCCGGAACGCCTGTATACGGGACGTTTTTTTAAGATCCATGTGCATATGCCCTTTGTCTATAAACATACTGTAACCTGATATTCTATCCTTTTAATCTTTGGTCAAGGTTTGTCCATATAACCCTGCTCCCGCGAGATTTTCTTTGAGCCCTACCTGGCTGCACCCTGCAAGTCTGGTGAAAGACTTTCCATTAAAGTGAAAAAAAGTCTGCATTGTGTACCGTAGATAGTACTGCGCAGAATATTGAAATGGGTCAAGAAAAAGGCCGCAAAGTGAAGATATCACAGGAGCTGGGTTACAGGTTAGTATAAAATATAACTAAACTAGGCGGGGAGCAGTACCTGCGCACTTATGTGTTCAGTTTATATAGAAGCAACACATTCCACGAATGTTCACAAAGTAGATGGAGCCATTCATAATATTCCCTGCTCCCGAAAGCAGCTTATATTCGAAAGTTCCTACCGCAGGCATTCTGGTTGTACTTTTATCCCTGCTCCCGTCAGATCTGCTTTATGAGCTCTACCTGGCTGCACCTTGCAACACATTTCCATACGACATAAGTAAATTGGTAGAGATGGAAGCTGTTTAACCATTTCACTGCCAGAGCTGGCCTGAAGATGACGTAAAACTCCCAAGCATTGTATATTTTCTAAAAGCAGAGACGCTGGAGAATAAATAGTGGTGGTTTTATGTCAGATACATTTAGTGCAACAGTTTACAAAATACAAATTTTCAGTAAAAAATACATTACGTATTTTTCGCTCATAAAATGCACCTTACCATAAGACGCAGCTAGGAGGAAAACAAGAAAAAAAATATTCTGAACCAATGGACTGCAGACATACTACAGGAGATGACCAGAGACTGCGGAAACAGTACAGGAGATGACCAGAGACTGCGGACATAGTACAGGAGATGACCAGAGACTGCAGACACAGTACAGGAGATGACCAGAGACTGCGGACATAGTACAGGAGATGACCAGAGACTGCGCAGACATAGTACAGGAGATGACCAGAGACTGCGGACACAGTACAGGAGATGACCAGAGACTGCAGACATAGTACAGGGGATGACCAGAGACTGCGGACATAGTACAGGGGATGACCAGAGACTGCAGACATAGTACAGGAGATGACCAGAGACTGCAGACATAGTACAGGAGATGACCAGAGACTGCAGACATAGTACAGGGGATGACCAGAGACTGCGGACATAGTACAGGGGATGACCAGAGACTGCAGACATAGTACAGGAGATGACCAGAGACTGCAGACATAGTACAGGAGATGACCAGAGACTGCGGAAACAGTACAGGAGATGACCAGAGACTGCGGACATAGTACAGGAGATGACCAGAGACTGCGGACACAGTACAGGAGATGACCAGAGACTGCGGACACAGTACAGGAGATGACCAGAGACTGCAGACATAGTACAGGGGATGACCAGAGACTGCGGACATAGTACAGGGGATGACCAGAGACTGCAGACATAGTACAGGAGATGACCAGAGACTGCGGACATAGTACAGGGGATGACCAGAGACTGCGGACATAGTACAGGAGATGACCAGAGACTGCAGACATAGTACAGGGGATGACCAGAGACTGCGGACATAGTACAGGGGATGACCAGAGACTGTGGACATAGTATAGGAGATGACCAGAGACTGCAGTTATAGTACAGGAGATGACCAAACATTGCGGACCTTTGGGGAGCAGAGGAGGGGGGGGCAGGTACCCGAATTTGGCAGGTACCCGCTTCCACTTCCGCGGAGCTGCCCTCCCTCCCTCTCTTGTGGGACATGTGACAGGTCCCAGAAGACTACCAGACCATTCACAAAGCGCAGCACTTGTCTCGCATGCGCAGTGGGCACCCGACTGTGAAGCCGCAAGCTGTCACAGCCAGGTGCCAACACTAAAGATGCCGGCCCCAGAAGAGAAGACGGTGAGGACAGCGCTGGACCAAGGAACAGGTAGGACTGAGGAGCACAGAAGAGCCGAGCGGCCGTCCCGGTAGTCTAACACAGCGGTGGGAATTCTGGGCTAGCCGCTCCATATTTGCTCAATAAGACGCACAGACATTTTCCCCCATTTTTTGGGAGGAAAATAGTGCATTTTATGGAGCCAAAAATACAGTAATTTTAGGACACATAAACGTAATCTATTACCAGATTTGTGGCAACATATAAAAGATGATGTTATGCCAAGTAAAATAGATACCCAACATGGAAAGCTTTAAAATTAGGTACAAATGGCAACAAACTTTCGATATTTATATTTTCCATAGTGATGCTTTAACCACTACAGTACTGGGAACTTTTACCCCCTTTCTGTCCAGGCCAGTTTTCAGCTTTCTGTGAGTCTGGGTTCACACTGATGCGGTGCGGAATTCGCACCGGTTCCTGTACGAATTCCGCACCGCATCATAATTGCACCCTGTTCATGCAAACCGCTGCAGGTGTGTATGTTATGTTAACAGCACCCCGAAATGCTGTGATTGGTCACAGCGATCACATGGTACCGGCAGTGGGCAGGTACAGTGATCTGTCATCTTTATTTTATACCTATAGAAATCATGCTGGCAGATCTAAGAAAGCAGTTGGCAGAAACAATTAGATAAATTGTGTACAACCTTATATATACAGTTGCAAGAAAAAGTATGTGAACCCCTTGGGATTACGTGGAGTTTTGCATGAATTGGGCATAAAATGTGCTCTGAACGTCATCTAAGTCACAACAATAGAAGAACACAGTCTGCTGAACATAATACTACACAAACATTAGATGTTGCCATGGTTTAATTGCACATAACATGTAAACATTCACAGTGCAGGGAGGAAAAAGTATGTGAACCTTTGGACTTAATAACTGGTTGACCCTCCTTTGGCAGCAATAACCTCAACCAAACGTTTCCTGTAGTTGCAGATCAGACCTGCACAACGATCTGGAGAAATTTTGGACCACTCCTCTTCACAAAACTGTTTCAGTATAGCAATATTCTTGGGATGTCTGGTGTGAATCGCTCTCTTAAGGTCATGCCACAGCATTTCAATCGGGTTGAGGTCAGGACTCTGACTGGGCCACTCCAGAAGGCGTATTCTGTGCTGTTGCAGCCATTGTTTTGTTGAATTACTTGTATGCTTTGGGTCATTGTCCTGTTGCATCACCCATCCATTTTTCCTGCAAAATGTCTTGATAAACTCTGGAATTCATTTTCCCATCAATGACAACAATCCGTCCAGGCCCTGAGGCAGCAAAGCAGCCCCAAACCATGATGCTCCCTCCGCCATGTTTTCTTTTTCAAATTTACATTCATGTGTATGTAGGGGTTGGGGGGGCTCATAATATTTTTGGTTGGAATTTTAAGTGCTTGGGTGGGACGTACATTTTTTACTAACCTTTATTTTCATCACATAGAGGACAAAATGTCCCTTATGTAATGATTTTTTTGGTGACAGGTTCTGTTGAGCTCTGAGGAAGGGAGCTCGTCCCCCGAAACGCATTAGGAAACTCTGTAGCAAGACCACTACTTGCTGGGACCAGGGGCGGACTGGCCATTTGGAAACTCGGGCGCTGCCCGAGGGCCCAGGGTCAGTAGGAGGCCCCATGAGATACCCCTGGTACCTTTTTCATAGGCTTTTTTGAGTTTGGGCAAGGACACAGGGGCTCCATGATCCCCTATTGCCCAGGGGCCCCATGAGTGGTCAGTCTGCCCCTGGCTGGGACTGTCACATTGGTTCCTTGCTTTTATTTATGACTCTTGGTTTGTGAGTATACACTTTGGTAATTCTCAATAAATTCTTTTTTATCATGGTAATGCACGAGGAGAGTGTGCCCTTTTTTGCTCTTTTCTGTTCAATGAGACATTAGAGGTCTAAAAGACCCCTGATGTGTCGTCTGTTCTCCAATGAGGGAAATGCAGTGTAGAGTGCACTTTTTACTTACATGCCATTTCTGGATCAATAATAGGTTTGCTCCTCTCCCTCCACTCTACCTGATGGCACCCGCCATGCTGATCCAAGTCCACAAATGGGTGCACAGAGCCTAGGAGCACGCTTGTGAAGGAGGGGTGGTGCAGTAACAAGGGTGTGAGGAAGTGATCCGGCTTCTTACACAGCCACCAGATCACTTCCATCTGACAGCCAGCAGTCGGCCTATCATATTTACACACACTCCCGGTGGCTGCGGCTGCCACCGATGTATGATGTACGTCAGTGGCAGAAAAATGGTTAAAGGATTTCTAAACCCAAGAACACCAATGTAAAATATTGCAGCTTATCAGTACTTAGATGTGGTGGTTGCTTTCAGTTTTCTTTTTTCAGACTTTTTTTTCTTTACGTTTGCCTGGTAATGCCGTCAATGATACCATTTCTGTATTGGAGAGAAAAGGCTCACTTTTGCTGCCAATGACATGTCTCACTCATCATGGCTTTGAAAGGGTTAAAAAAAGATCATGGCTGCGGCTGGTTGTTTCTGTTTCATACAGCAGGCTCAGGTCTCTGTAGTAAAAGTGATCTGGGTGGCTGTAGAGCTGCCCAGTCACTGATGGATATTTAAATATAATTTTTGCTCCACACATTAATGCTCCATGCACACTAGAGTTTTTTTTTTTAAGCTCCTAGAAGCTTTTATCAGCATATATTTTTCTGCTCCTAGAAACTAAATAGTGTCCATGTACATTACTTTAGGCTATTAGCATTTTTTGAGTTTCAGTGTCTAAGAGCAGAAAAAAAAATGTTTTTTTGGGCATTTTTCCAGCAGAAAAAAAATGCTAAATGCTCCTAAACGTTACTAAATCCTACAAAAATGCTCCTAACAGCTTTTTTTTTTTCCTCTACATGTACTGCAAAAATGCTAATAAAATGCTAACACTCCTAAAAGCTTTTGAATGCTACTAAAACACTACTAAAAAATGCTATTACCAGCTTTTTTTATCCAGCATTTTTCACAGCGTTTTGGAGCTTAAAGTGATTTTAAAGGCTTTTTTTAAAAAAAAAAAAACAAAACAAACATATCTATACTTACCTTCTCTGTGCAGTGGTTTTGCACAGGGCATCTTGGATCCTCCTCTTCTCAGGCCCTCTGCCGGCACTCCTGGTCCCTCGCTCCCGTCAGGTGACCCCACAGCAAGCAGCTTGCTATGGGGGCACCCGCTGCTCTGTGTATCCATTCAGACATAGAGTTGCGGCTAGGCTCTGCCTCCTCACTGAGCCAATGGCTTCCGCTTCTGTCTCAGCCAATGAGGAAAGGGAGTCCCAGGATAGCTGAGATTCCAGTGCATATTGCTGGATCGAGAGGGGGCTTAGATGAGAATTAGGGGGGGGGGGGGCTGCTGCACAGAGAAGGTTTTTTACCTTCATGCATAGAATTCATGAAAGTAAAAAACTTTGCGTCTTTACAGCCACTTTTAAAAAAACGCTAGTGTGCAAGGAGCCTAAGTATGCATCTAATACCTCCTGCTTAGCAGTACCACTCAAGGATTCTGCATTTACATCTCCTTGTAAAACGGTATTAAATACAAAGCCAAAAATGTCATATTTTGCAGCTTACCAATCATTGGATGTGGTGACTGCATTCGTTTTCTTTTTTTAGGTTTCCCTCCCTCTGTTTTCACGTGGTGATCTGAGCAGTAACACAGCTACTGTTTTAGGCCCTCTTCACATCTGGCGTTTTGGAATCTCAGGCAGAATCGCTGATCTTCTGCCTGCGATTTCAAATCACACTGCAATATTGGCAAAATTCACCATGTGTGTTTGGATGCCATTCATTTTCAATGGCACCTAAACAATGTTAGTTTCCGCTGTGATCCTCGTGTGATAAATCACGCTGCAATCATGTCAAATGGCATCATGCAAAGCTTGTTGCCCAAAAAGGAGCAGGAGCCAGGGCTGCTGTTTGAAACCATGAGGCCCCATACAGCCAACCTGACAGGGCCACCTTAGAAAAAAAACACAGTTTACTATGCTTCAGTTATGAATGAACACAGTGAGTGACCAGTAATGATAACTCATTGTGTTCATTCACGAAATTCCCCCAGTCTCCATCCTGAAGGATTCTATTGTGTGCTTGCAGCAGGACGGAGAGGAGGGAAGCTGGCACTGTGGGGGCCCTGGCAGCTGGGTGAATCAAATGTGCACAGGAAGGGTGATCGGCATGATGGGCGGGGGGGGCAATTACTGGAACCGATCCCTTGAAGGGCTCTCCCTTCAGCAGTTGAAAACCAGCAGGAGGGAGAGGAGAAGAATCCAGCTTTCAGAGGCTGCAGAGAGAGAGCCATAGAGAGGATCAGTTCCAAAAATTGCCCCCCCACCACTGTGCCGATCACCCTCTCTGCCCACATCTGATTCACCCAACAGCCTGGGCCCCGTAAGGAAGGGCTGGTGGTACTCCCTTATCCACAGCCCTGGCAGGAGCTACTTTTGGGTGACAAACTTTGTGCGATGTGGTAAGCTGTGATTGCAGTGCGATTTATCATGTGACAATCATGGCAGAACCATGCCACATTAAGGTACCATCAGGGGTGGACTGACAACTCATGGGACCCCCGGGCAATAGGGGATCATGGGGCCCCTGTGTCCTTGCCCACACTCAAACCACACCCAAAAAAGCCTATGAAAGGTACCAGGGGCATCTCATGGGGCCCCCTACTGACCCCGGGCCCTTGGGCAGTGCCCGAGTTCTCGAATGGTCAGTCCGCCCCTGCGTACCATTGCAAATGAATGGCACTCGGACACTCGTGGTGCATTTTGCCACTATTGCAGTGTCATTTGAGATCACAAGCAGAATTGCAGTGATTCTGCCTGCAAACTCAAAATGCCAGATGTGAACAGGGCCTTAGAGTGCCATCACTCTGGATGAAGGAGCACAGGAGCACCTTTTGGACTGCAGCATTGTCAGTCTGGGGAAAGG